GAGTTGACGTATTTACATTCCGGATATGTATATCTCCATTATATATAAATAATTTAATATACGATATCATTATACTATAATAGTTATCTAGTACCTAATCGAATATTTTTATATGAGGTATAGACTCCTCATTATTATACACTCTAGGCGAAACTATTGCAATATAGCACTACAAAACCAAAGAACGAGCTAAGCGGCTCATAGATTGCGCATCAGTTAATAAATTTTGTACAGACTCCTGAAATAATTAGAGCGTCAAGGGCTGTGCTTAATTAGGTTGGCCAGATTAGGATTAACTTATACCACATTACTTTGCCTTAGCATTGCTGACTTGCTACAACTTGGCAGAGACGGGAAAGGCAGATTCAACCTCAGCAATAGCAATTTGAAGTTTATTATGTTTCTCTTTTTTTAAGTAAGTATTTTAGTCTTTGTGTCCCCAAAGATTAAAATACTCAACTCAAACGTGATATTTTTGTGATAAAGATTGTTTAATAATGCTGCCTCCGCGTGCAGGAAATGGCATCTAAGAGGTGTAATTTTCAACAACAAAAATTCGGGGGGGGGCCGGACCCCGCCTAATCAGGAACCCTTTCCCGAACCCACCCTATAGTCTATTTTTTCACTATTGTTTGACAAGCATATTTGTTTTCAAATTTGGGCGAGTTAACTTATTGACTCACTCGCCCAGTTTGGCAAGAGGTTTTTATTTTAAAGCTCTAACACTGAGAAGGTAGAATATGGAACAACGTTGGCAAGGCCTATACATGAGCAAAGATACTGTCTTTTTCACCTACACCTACAACTATTCGCAGGATTCGTAACCAAACTCACAAACCCCCGCAGATTGTATTGCACACAACGACGACATACCGAGATTGAACTTCTAATATACACAATGGAAAACCAACAGGTTTTGTCAAGGACGAGGCACCAACTGTTAGTGTCCACATTTTTCTTTCCACTATTCAAACACGGCAGATATTATCTTTAATTTCTTGGCAGGCTATATTGTTCTTGCCACAATGGCAGCAACGCAGAGTTGTGCTGTTGCTGCGTGCAAAGAATGGCAGCACAGTGTTATACGGCGTATCTGATATCACATCTACTGAATGAATGCGCACACGACAAAACACTATTTCATGAAGGCGTGCACGCAGCTGCCGAGAAACACACACAGCAGCAATTTTAGTAAATTTTTGTGACAGCCATGCACCATACACACAGTAGACATGCTGGCATTCGCACAGTGAATTACGACCATTTTTTTACGTTAAAACACAAATTATAAACTGATTATTGGTTTGCGCAGACAACTCTTTATCATTTTACAAATTAATTATCGTGCGTGGAAGTGAATTTTCTGTCGCTAGAATAAAATTTTTTACAAAATGCGATGAATGTTTCATTTTGACACAAAGAAGTGTAATTCAAAAATATTCAGTGCTCTTTGCAGAAACCACAATGAGATACGCTTAGAACTGCCCCCTGTGCCCCCGCAGATATTTTACCTTGTGCAACAAACAAAAAGGATGGTCATGCAGTTACCACGTTCTTGCCGAGTGTTTATACTACACACGTTGATTGGCATGGTAACAATGCACAGGTGTGTGTACAATGTCACTGCTATCTCAAATAACTTGTTTTGCTGACAGCAAATGCCCGGAGGGCTGGAAACAGGCAAGTGCTAACAAAGAATCACTCCCAGTGAGGAATGTCCCACTCACTTGTATTCTATTACTGGATGTACTTACACACCCACCCGCGTATACCTACACCACGTTTAGCCCCCGAAAAATGTTTCTATAGTTGTAGAATGATATTGCTTAGCAGTAAATGTACTGTAACTACCAACTTTTGAATCTAAAATTTGAATGTATATAAGTTATATAGAAGGAGAATACAATACCCAGTCAAAAACTTTCTGTACACACATATATGTGATTTTGCATACCTTTCATTGTACAACTCAGAAACGATCCTATAAGGTCTACGTCTATCTAAATCATTTAAAATACGAACGTTTGATTTATATGTGAGAATTATTAAGTAAATATAATGTAAAAATTGCCAGTAAATAAAATTGCTGAACTTGCTGCCAAGACAGCAGCTACAATGCAGAGAAACACCAACTCGAGTTTTCCCCAAATTGGGAATATTTCACTTGTATGTGTGCACGTGAGCAGTGCTGATGTGTATGAAACACGCGTCTATAATTACTTCCTAAAGAGGCTGAAGGGGTCGTTGTCATATCAGGTACTACAGATATGTACCCGAGGTACATATATGTATACACAAAGTGTACCAGACTTGTACTACAGAAGTGTACCCTAACTCTAACCCTAACCCTAACCCTAACCTTAACCCTAACCCTAACCCTAACCCTAGCCCTAAACATACCTCATATAAAAATATAAACATAATACTAAACAAGCTAAAACTACCTCGGGTACATATCTGTTACCTGCAGTACCTGATACGACAACGACCCCATCTGCCCTAAAGAGGCACACACGAAGCACACTACAATGTGCTCTCATACGAACTAATGGCTTCTAAATGAACTCTCAAACAAACAAGAATCTGATGCGCAAAGTTTGGTATAAACACACAGCACGGCTGCAGCTACTGAG